GCCGCTGTTGTTGCTTTTTTTTCTTTTAGAGATACTTATTTTATTACTTGTCATTTCAGTGAATACTCATATTTGTATAGAGAGAGAATTTCTTCTCACACAGTTTAACCCCAGCAGTGACAAGACATACAATTCAAACAAAGCCTACCTTAAAATTCAATACAAATTTTATTTCGTCTTTGCGAAAAAGATTATGCCCTTTTGCACCCCTGTGAATAGGGTGGGGTAGTTACTTCAAAGAAGTGGTAGTATTTTTCTTCTCTGTAGGACTCAACTGGTCTCTATGCAGATTCGAAGAAGCAGGAACTTGACGGTCGTCGAACAGGAGCATTACCAATTTGGTTGCTGAAATAAAAAACTCGGCTATTTGTCGAGAGCATGCAGAAAGGTTCTTCATGTAAAAGTACATAATGTGACGACAGTCAATAAACCGACTGAATTGCTCAGCCTTAAAAAGTCTCTAGAATATGAGACAAGAAGAATAATTGCCTAGTCATTTAGGCTTAATTTTGGGTGCTAAAGGCCCTGCAATGTGAGAGAAATGAGTCCTGTCATCTCGAAGATTTTGCAGCAACTGAAAAAAAAAAGGCACGTGCAGTTGAAAATGCTCACGAAAGGCAAAGGAAAAATTCAACCAAAGAGCTTGGTTGGTACAAAAATACGGTGTGGCATAAATTAGCCAATAGGAGCTTAGCTTTAATTGCAGAATTTCTCACAAGAGGCTCCATTATTTTTTTTTTATTTAAACAGTAGTATATTTATTTACTAAATTCTAGTTTTAACTTGTGAAAATTTCAGTTTTCCTATTTGAATTTTCTGATAAATTAAGAAAGAATTCAAATGGGGAAAACTGAAATTCTTTAGTCATTAACTGAAGAATTAAGAATCTTTTTAATTCTTCACTTAATGATTGAATAAGCTCATGGTGAGTCCCGTAGAAATTCCCCCATCACATCATTAAATATTTGAGCTTAGCATTTTTCACAATATTGCAATAACAATCATAAACATTAATGCTGGTTGTTATTTTAAGAAGTAAGGGGGTACAAATGAAAAGATTTGAAATTGACAAATACTTTTTTTTTTTTTTTTTTCATTTCACTGAGAAAGGATATTAAACATGTCTACTATTCCCTTTCTTTCTTCTCACTGAAACCAAGTAGTGTCTCTCTTCTCTTACCACATACTACACAATCAAAACTGAATAGTCCACTATTTGTGATGTATTGGCAGCACGTAACAGTCGTGCAAACTAACAAAGGGCAGGACAAACATAATTATAATAGGATTTTGGGCCTGAATATTCAAGAAATCTTATTAAAGAAGAATATGCACTCTTCAACAGCATTCAAACCTGCATCCACCTTGGCAGGGGAAACTGTTGTTAAATCAGACATGCTTTTGAGGATTTTCTTCTATACTGTTTAATAAACTGAGCTATTCAAATTTGGGTATCTGCTAAACATAGTGTTTAAGTGATAAAATCTGTCAGATTTATAAATAAAAAACACCTGGTTATACATCTAGGTACTGGCCAGGCCTGACGTTACTTAAATTGGGTGATTGTATTTTTTTCTTTTTCTATTTAATCATTTCAAGTAATGCAATAAAGCCACTAGGATACATGAAATTACTGTGTGTTAAAGAACATTATTAAGGGGAGAGGACAATAAAAGGACAAGAATTAAGAAGACAAGATAATGATTGACATTGCATTTAAATTTTTGAAGATCAAAGTTGACTGGGAAGCAAGAATCCAAAAGACTTTTGCAAGCGAGAAGTGCAATAAAAGAAATTGTTAGCATAGAACTTAGTGTTACATTTAGCCCTTTCAACTGTAAAATGATGGTAGCTTGTCACCAATGTAGTACTGCATTTAAATTTCTAGAGTCTAGGTACTATAGAGAAAATAATATATATATATATATATATATATATATATATATATATATATATATATATATATATATATATATATATATATATGAGTTTTAAGGTGTGCCATATTTATGAGATAAAGTGCTCAATATCAGAGATAGAGCATATGTAAATATATATATGTGAACATTTGAAGTCAACACTTATAGGTGACAAGCTGTTTCATGCTACACGTAACTGACAGCCTGTCGCCTTTGGGTGTTGACTTCAATTATAAAATATGGTTCCATTGCTACACAGGAATTACCATGTTTCAAAAACAAACTTTAAATTTAATTATAGAATTAAATTTAAAATCTATATCTCTGATTCATTTTCAAGCGATTTCTGGATTTCTAGAAATCGCTTGAAGATGAATTAGAGATAAACATTTTAAATTTAATTCTATAATTAAATTTAAAGTTTAGTTTTTGTTTTTGAAACATGGTAATTCCTGTGTAGCGATGGAACCATATTTTTAAATTAGTAAATTTATATTTAGGCTCTACTGAATTGTATTGAGCACTGTTTTTTACAAATGAAATTAAGAATAATGGATTATAAATCTTACTGTTCGTTCTCATTATTTTAATATATATATATATATATGTCATCCACATATAGACCTGTTTTGCTGTATCACAGCTCATCAGTGTGGCTAGACATCCGATTGCTTCAAGCTGGGATCGAAACCCAACCAATTTGGCATCAGTCAGTTTCTACCCCTGAGCTATCAGCGCACAGGAAAGGGAAATTGTGGCACATTATTTTTATGAATATAAACAAACGCCAGAAAGCCATAGTGCTCGATTCATTTAATGAAGAGTGTTGTGTTAGTGGTGATGGCTACTGTTTAGAATTACCCTCTCTTTCCTCTGTGCTCAACTGAAATTATTGAGAGCATAATATATGGTGTTCAGAAATGACTAAATGTAATCAGAAGTTACTACATTTTTATTAACAGACATATTTCAATATAGAATAAGTCAGTTATGTGCCATGCTTGATACACGCTTAGGTGATCATGCATCTTTCAATACATGACTGACACAGCAGATTTTTTCCTGCAGTAAGTTCCCATTTCTTTCTGCCGTAGAACAGTTGCCCTCCAGGGCTATGGAACCTGGTCTGTCCTGCTATTTACCTATAACTGGGGGTGGGTAGAAGAAGAGGATTCATACCTTTCCCAAGAGTATTAGCACATAAGTGAATGTAATGAATTTGGCTGGAATTTGGCTCTCCAATTCCTGAATCTGAGCTGCTATCCATTACTCTACCATGCTTCCTCAATATAGAATACAGGAAGATGATATTAATGAAAATTAGAAACCATGTTGAAAGTGATGCTCGTTGGAATCAAGACAGGCTTGAATTCTTTTTAATCTTTATCTTAATGCCAATTGCTTTCAGTTCTTGTATTGCCGTTAATTTGTATGGAAAGAGATTTTTTTTTTTCTGATGGTGTTATGAGCAGTTCCAAGACCAATATTTTGGTGCTCTGCAAATTTCCTTATGATTTTTTTGGACTCTGCTGCAGACTGTCAGAAATATCTCACAATTTCTCCTCCGATAGCTTTGCAAGCCTTCCACAACATTTGTCATCGTCCACTGATCATGTTTCCTGAAATTTATCAACAAGATTAAAAACTACATTGTGATGTAGAACAGGTGTATCTGAAAATTTATCAGCAAGACATTGTCACACCAAATGTATGTCTAGCACCTTCTCGAAATACGTGTTCAATACGTGAGAAATAAACATTCTTCAGTTGTTGGGGTGAAATCTGAAACATAAAAAAAATTATTAGAAAAGTCAACAGTAACTTTCTAAACTGTGTGTGTGTGTGTGTGTGTGTGTGTGTATAATATATAATAAAAGAATGACAATTGGAAAAAAAAAATCTTAGTTTTTGCCAACACGTTTCATCTTTTGACTTTATAAATGCAAACAATGAAAGTGAAATGTTTTTGTTGTCATAGTTACATTAAATCCAAAATGTAAAAAAATACACTCCTGCATAAGCCTCTTTCTTTTTAATATAAAGTTACCATTAGCCAGAAAGAGGTTTATGTAGGAGTGTCTCTTTTTTTTTTTTAAATTTTGGATTTAGTGTAACAGTGACAACAAAAAAAATTTTGCTTTCAATGTTTGCCTTGATAAAAAAACTAAGATTTTATATATATTAATTTCCCATATTAATTCTGTGGATAAGAAAAATTGGTATAAGAATGGCAATTGGAAAAAAAAATCTTAGTTTTTTAAGATGTTTTTTTTTTTCAATTGCCATTCTATACCAATTTTTCTTATCGACAGAATTAATATGGGAAATTTTAATATATATAAAATCTTAGTTTTTTTTTTTTAATCAAGGCAAACATTGAAAGCAAAATCTTTTTGTTGTCATAGATACATTAAATCCAAAATTTAAAAAAAGACACTCCTACGTAAACCTCTTTCTGGCTAATTGTAACTTTGTTAAAAAGAAAGAGGCTTATACAGGAGCATCTATTCTTTTAAATTTTGGATTTAATGTAACTATGACAACAAAACATTTCACTTTCATTGTTTGCCTTTATAAAATCAAGAGATGAAACATGTTGGCAAAAACTAAGATTTTTTTTCCAATTGTCATTCTTTTATTATATATACCTCCAAAAAATCTTTTTACGTCATAGGGAGAGGGAATAGACTGTCTTTTTAACCATGATGTTACACATGTGGAATACGACTCCTTTCATTATCTGCTGAAATAGTCTATTCCCCCCCCCCCATGAGGTAAAAAAAATTTCTTTGATTATTCATTCATATTACTCTGTATAATTAAAATACATCGAACTCTCTTTTGTTTCAGTTTTAATGTTTTTATATAACTAGGACCCACAGATTTATTTTACCTTTACTGATATGTAATGATGACCCTTAAAAATTCATGTGTCCCGTACTTTTGGCATTCTGCCACATCTAAGCTACACTTGGAAAATTGCTACAATTCGGTATTATTTATTTTATATATCTGGCACACTGTGACGATGCCTCACAACAAAATGCATTGAAAATCTTAACTTTTTCACTTTCTTTTCAGGTATGGACATCTATGATACTCCTGATCAACCTGGAAGCTTAAAATGGTTCCCATGGTTGGTACTTTGTGCCCAAATTTTGGGACTTGGCTCGGTCATTCTTGTGGCCGTATGGCTTGGACAATACAGAGGTGGTTTTGCATGGCAAAGTGATGTGAGCAAAGAATTCAACTACCATCCACTCTTCATGGTACTTGGGATGATATTCCTCTATGGAGATGGTCAGTTTGCAATCTTAATCTCTTTCTCGTGTGTGTGTGTGTAATGGAACATATTTTGATTGTCATATTGAAGATAATTCTTTTGTCTTTGTGGGAAGGAGTTTTTTTTTTTTTTTTTTTTTTTTTTTTACCCTTTATTTTTGTTAGTCTCTCCTCCCCTTCTATTTATCTCCTCCTCCCCTTCTATTTATCTCCTCCTCCCCTTCTATTTATCTCCTCCTCCCCTTCTATTTATCTCCTCCTCCCCTTCTATTTATCTCCTCCTCCATCTAATTTATTTGGATCTACTTTTATCATTTCTTTAAAGAATCCGATAAACAATTTGAATTTTTCTCTCAAAGAATTTTCTCTTTCAAGAAGTTCATGAGTTTAGACTTAAAACAAAAATCAGTTTTTTTGGCTTGATCATTATTTGCTACAAACATGGCGAAAAAGAGTGGTCACTTTTAAAGACCAAATTGAACGCTGGATGCTGTCACTCTTACAGAATGTCTGGGTGCATGTGTGCTTTAAATTTTTCTTTTTAGTAAAAGCTCTTAGAATCTGTAGCCCACAATTCCTACCTGAGGAAGAGAAATACATTGAAAACACTTTCAATCTCCTTTAATATTAATTCCTGTATAATGATAAATGCAAAACCTACAAAATATATACAGAAGAAAATAGAAAAATCCACAGGTAATAAAAATATTAATCTCCACAATTCTGATATAATTAGGCACATAATTCTACCTGCCAATTCTATCAAAGCTGCCAGTGAAAATAACTTTGCCAATTGTGATCTAAAATTCATCAGCACCACTTCTAAAATGATTAAAGATATACTCAGCAGCAAACAGAACAGCAGGAATATACAAAATAAATTGCTTACAGTGCCTAATGATACACATCAGTGAAACATCTGAAAATCTAAAAAAAATGGCTATATGAATATCATGGGTATCTATTATAAAACAAAAGTTTCACATTGAGATGCCAGGTCAGGACCAATACCATTGCAGATTCTTTGTATTTTTTATCAAAAATCTCTGAATTCATAGCAGAAGCACCAGACCATATATGGCAGCAATATTCAATGTATGGACAAATGCTAGACTTATAAAAGAATTGTAAATAATTCCTGAGAAATGCCAAAATTGGATGTTACTGTTAATAATTTCTTTGTCTGTATTTTTTAGTTTTTATTTCTCCATACACAGACTTTAACTTTGGCCTTGATGTCATGTTGAATTTAAAATTTTTTTTTTTTTTTTTTCTCCCTTTCAGCCATCTTGGTGTACAGAGTTTTCAGGAATGGTCGCAAGACATATATAAAGATTTTGCATGCCATCATGATGTTGTTGTCACTCATTTTTTCATCTGTTGGTCTCAAAGCTGTCTTTGATTCTCACAATTTGGCCGAAAAACCAATTCCAAACATGTACAGCCTTCATTCCTGGATTGGATTAGCCACAGTTCTTTTATTTGCTTTACAGGTTTGTTTCAAAGGACTTTTTTGTTTGCTATTTTCGATGCTGACACTGCTTAGATTTTGCAAGTATTTGGAGATTTCCAAGAGTGCATGTCTGGATGTCATAATTGACAGTAAACAGTATTTTCAAGATTTTAAGAGAAATTAGTCTTTATGAAATTAAATTTGTTAAATTGCAAAAAAAATTCTTGTATTAGACTAATAAAATGAATTTTATCAACATTAAAAATTTGACATTTCACCAGAGTGTGTATCAAGATCTGGAGCTTTGATTATACTGTTGTGGGTTTCCCAGTAACTGGGGTAGGCAGCATTTGGTTAGCTCTTGCTCCTTCTTTCCAAGCATCCCTGTCAAGTGGGATAATGCTGGTAAGGCCACAGTTCTGCACATCCCACCTGATGCAGTCCTTCTATGTCTTCCTTGGTCTACCTTGACCTCTGTGTCCAGGAACACACGCACCACATGGTGGTTGCATCCTACCAGTTTGTGCTTAGCAATTCTTAAAATTATCAAAGCTTAGTGAACTGGTTGTTGGATTATCCAAAAACAATCTTGTATATTAATAGCATATATATATATATATATATATATATATATATATATATATATATATATATATATATATATATATATAAAAAAATATACGAAGTCCGACAATTATTTTAAGACATTTTTATGTTTATACATACAAATATTTAAGTAAATGCTCTGTTTATAATAAACAGTATTAAACAACATTTATCGACCTGAATGTCTGAGAAATTTTCATAGAAAATATTTGTCCACTGACAGGAATTGAACCTATATCTTAAAATATTTAAATTGGTTAAAGGCACATCAGGCTATATGACAGTTCCGTATAGGATACATGTTCGATTCCTGTTTGTAGGACGAATATTTTCTGTGAAAACTTCAGACATTCAGGCCGGTAAATGTTGTTAAAAACTGTTTATTATAAATAGGGCATTTACTTAAACATTTGTATCTATAAAAAAATGTATAAACATAAAAATGTCTTAAAATATATGCACACACACATACCTAAATAGCTAATACCATTGCTGTAAGTTCTGTGGAGGCTGAAAGATGGTTTTCTGTGAACATAAAATAATTTATTCTGACAAAAGATATTGTCATGAATTTTAAAATGTGGCAAATCTTCCAGTCATAAATTTAATAGCTTTTCCTTTGGATCTTTGAGATTGCAGTGATTCAGTTTAAATATGGCTAAGAAACTGTAACACAGCTAATCACACTAGAATCAAAAAACATACTTCTGAACAGAAATATGACTAGAACAGAATTTTAATCTAGAAAGTGATTGCTTTCCATGCTTAACAAGAAGACTTGGGTTACATCTTTCTACCCATAGCTCAATTAGGATTCATTTAAGTACATATGGAGACCTACCAAACTTCATCTGCAACATACTCATTGATAATACAAATATAATAATCTCACCCACAAAAGTCTAAAAATAATGGAAGCATTATTAATAAAAAAAAGAAAAAGCCAACACTCAACAATATCAACTATGAACATGACACCAATGTGCTAACCATGTTTGGAAAATAAAACATTCTTATAATTCTAGATACATACATAAAACAATCCATATATTCAGTTAAAAGTAAAAATAAAACTCATTCTTGATAATAGCTAAAAGTATAGCTGAAAGTGTTTTAACATATAAATCCTTTGGACAATTTCTAAAAAACTTTATGTTCAGCAAAGAAAATTTTATAAGAACACGAGAAAAATTAAGTAAAAAATCTTAACCACAGTATCTTGTCAGTCGTTTTTAATGAAAACTCACACATTTTTTATTACTAAATTATATTTAATGGGTAGACAGTGTTTGTCTTTTTTCCTTTAACAAATGTAAAGTTAAAAAATTCTTTAATTACATGAAAAATCTGGCATTTAAATTAATTTTGAAACAGATTCACAGTTTCAGTATCTCTTACATGTATTTTTTATTTTTTGGGTTATTTTTTTATTTTTCATTTCAGTGGATATTTGGTTTTTCATCTTTTTTGTTACCGAACATGAGTCAACAATGGAAACAAAATCTGATGCCGTTTCATGTGTTCTTTGGAATGGCCATCTTTTGTCTTGCATTGGCATCATCACTCACTGGACTCACAGAAAAGGCATTTTTTGTTCTGTAAGTGTTTTGGGGTTTTGTTTTCTCCTATCAATTATTAGTTATAGTCACTTGATGTCAGAAATATTCCTTGTTTCTGCTTCCTTCTAAACTTCAGCCCTATACTTTTAATGTCTCCATCTAAACTGTGAAATTTTACTTGTTTTTTTTTTCATCCCTATTTCTGAGTATGATGATGAACTACATCTGGCAGCAAGGCATCTGATTGGGAGGTTTTGAGAAAAGTGGAACCAACTCTTAATTGTTCTTGTTCCGAGGTTTAGAATCTCACCTGTGGAAGAGAGGTCAGAAAGTGGAGAATAATTTGTCAACCACAATGGCTTGGAGTCACCTTTTTGAACTTTATTAAGTTTGTAGAGTGTGGTCTGTGCTGCTTCTGCCCAAATATGACAACATTACTCCACATTTGGCCTGATTTGGTTCTTGTCAAGATAAAGGATAGCATCTGTGAGTGTATTGTCCTCCTTCCACTGCCCATGTCTACTCACCTGACCAGGAGGAGAGCCCAAGTCTTATTGGGGCCCCTGCGCAGTGCTATCTTATCAACATTTGCTTTATTTTTCTACCTACATTTATATTCATTACAAATTAAATTAAGCACAACTGATAATTAAAGGATGAAAAATTTTCGCAGATTTTTGGGTCATATTTTTTTTTCCTGTCTAAATCTGTGAATTTGTTTTGCTCATGCTAAGTCTAAAATAAAACACAACATAAAATTCACTATTTTTTTATCAATGTTGAATATTAAAATTATTCAAGTTTTTAACTAGAAAAATCTTAAGTTGATGTTAAAAATTGCCACAAAACATTATTGATTTATTTAAGATGGAATGATATAATTATGACAGGTCTCTAATTTGTATTTAGATACATTGTTTTTATTTTCAATTTTTCTAGAATTACTTTTTTGCATTGTTCACTTTCATTTCATATTATACATAATTAGGTTACAATAAAATTTGTATTTTATATGAATACTACTTTATAAAAATTGAGATTGTGGGGTGACGGAGTCATGACTCTTGCACCTGCTCTGACCTAATGCTTAAAAACGAGGACACTCCCACTCCACCCCCCACCTCCAATATGTGCAGCATACCAAGAACCATATACCATGAAGCACATATTTATAAACTGTATGGAATTTAACCATATTTAGAACAATTTTATAGAAATATAAGAAATCTGAATGACCTTTTCAGACAAACCAACCCAAATAACATCTTTATTTTTATAAAACAAGTGAGGCTTTACATAAAGATGAAATCTCTCACAATCCCAAAAAGAAATTTTTTTTTCTTTAAAACTTAACTCTTTAGCTTTCAACTTGCTCAAACCCACCCTGTAAATATCAGCTCTCAAAGTTACACTGTTTATGTGACTTCCTACATTATTTCCGATGATGTCAACACACACACACACACACACACACACACACACATATATATGCAGAGTATAAAAGGGGTTGGCAACAGCAGTCGAACATTGAGCTGATATTTATGAAGTGGGGTCAAATATGAAAGACTTAACAAAAACCCTCATCTCTAAAGAATTTAACTAAAAACTTTCTTACAAATTATAAGTATATTATAAAAGAAAAAAAAAAGGATTTGGCACTAAGATGACCCACAAATGTTGATATGCCATTAAACAAGAAACAAACAATAAGATCTTTTGCTTTGAAAACTGGAAGCATTCAAGTTTTTTCCTGTAGAAGAAATGTATTTATTTAAAAAAAATAAATATGTTTTTTTTTTTTTTTTTTTTTTTTTTTTACTAATTATATTTTTATTTTAAAAAAATTACAACCTCCAAAGAATAAATAAGAAAATCATATGCAGCAGCATTGTGTATTAATTACACAATATAGAAAACTCTTTTCTCAAAAAAAAAACTTTTCTCTTATTTTTAAAAAATATATTTTTATACTTATGGTCTTCTATAGTAAAAAATAGCTGAAGTACCTAGTACAAAAAATGACTTTTATTGAAGGTAATGTCCCCACAATTTTAAACTATTGTCAAATTTTAATTAATGAAGATTGTACAACTAAACACCTTTTTGGTTGCATTAGTCACAATGTCCTAAACTCATTCATTACTCCTTTGACAAACATGGATAAATGTGCCTGCAATAAGGACAATTTATCTCTTGACACTGATTTTTTTTTTAACTATCTTCAATTTTGTTAGCAATGATTGTTCTTTCAAAAAGTGATAATTGGAATAAAAGAAACATATGAAAGTGAATTTATACATTTCCTATGTTCTTAAGAATTGACAACAAAAATAATAAACACTAATGTTTACCCAGATGCCATAGACTGCCAGGACTTGTACCTAGCCTCACTCCATAATACTGGAATATTAAATGGAAACAGGTGAGATTAATATGCAAAGCAGAGGGATCTGGTAGGCTAATGTTTACCAAGATGACATAGACTGTCAGGACTTGTACCTAGCCTCACTCCCTGATACTGGAATATTAAATGGTAACAGGTGAAATTTTGTAGTTTAGATGAGTCTCTATTACTTCGACGTCACTTGTACAACTTCAAGATACCACTGGTTTAATCCGCCATTCTTGTTTTCCCAAACATTTCACAAACGTATAATCCATCTGGCTTTTTTTCCCCCTCCCTCTTCAATGCTTCATCCCTCTTTTATCAGGCCAACTCCGCGATCGCCCAACCAATCAACGTTCTTCGCTTTTGTTCTTAGTTACCCAGGCAAATAGCCTCCTCTAGTTTGACCAATCAGCACATGACTTGCTATTGGTGGAAGCATGCCAAACTGTACAAAAACCATGTTACCGCACATAGTGCTACAAGTAGTAGGTGGGAGAGTAATGCCAGTTTCAAGGAGCAAACTTGCCGGTCGCATGTTAGGATAAGACTCTTATTTGTCTATGCACCAGATGCAAGCCACTCTGGCTCGCCTTCTTCCATGGGGCTGTTCACCACACTCCCCCCCCCAATCTCATGATCACAAAACATACAGTTACGAGCAGCTCGCTTTTGCCAGTTACTTCATTGAGGAGGTGGAGCAACACAAGCTTCATCTTCAGATGAACTGTCATCAGGGGAGTCTAGAAGAATGTACCCCATTAGTATTTTGGCCGCTAACAGTTAGGGTGTCGTCATCTTCTATGCTTGTGTCATCTTCAACAGATTCAGTATCAAGAGAGTGATCAGTTTCTCCTAATGGGGTTGATCTCAAATTTACTAACCGCTCACTCTCTTCAGAATTGTTGTCCTGTATAGCAAGTCCTTCACATGACGCAGAACTCCATCTACGTGCACTGACTGTGAACTAGTAACCTGAGTCACATGACCCATTCTAAATTTAGTCGTGTATTTCCCATGAGGAGTTTTCACCCAAACGACATCTCCCACTTCATATACTCCTTGAGTATTCTGAGGTTCAATGGGGGACATAGCCTCAATGCCCCATATACAAGTATGGTACCTATAAAGTGCATCAGCTGGTGCAGTAATAGGCGAGTGATTATCTTTAGGCATAACATTATACCAGTAGACAGCCTCCGGTAGAGCACTGCTTTCTAGCTGCAATGGTTTTGATGCTTCGCTGACTTCTTTCTAACTATACCATTCCTGATACATAAACGTACACCCCAATTACTCAAAAAACCCTTGAACTGTTTGCACATGAATGCGGTGTCATTGTTGGTCAATATCACAAGTAGCAGACCCCGTTCGTAAAAAATTGCCTCTAGTTGACAAACTACACTAGTAGAATCTTGTTGATGTAGTTGTCACCATATTGCGAACCAGGAGGGTCCACAATCAATAATTGTCAGAAAGTGCTTACCACCATTGTGGGTGATGTCCATTGCTAACCTATTCCAGTTATCCCTCACGTTCAGCTTTCCTTTTTGCCAATGCACTGGAGCCGGGTCAATGGTTTGGCAAGCCTCACATTCCTTGACAACTGCTTTTACAAGTTCTGACGATACTGAAGTGTCTATCAACCTAACAAAATACAGGGTCCTTTTCATGCCTGGGTGTCCAGTTTTCCGGTGGATATTAGCCACTTGATGTGCATCTAAATTGGTCTTTGCAATGGCACATACTGACTGCACTGGCTCCGTTCCCTCCTTGTGTAGGTTTAACCACCTTTTTGGCACCCTGGTCAACCGGTCTGCCAGATTCATGTTGGATTTGACCAGTGTTATGTCCACTGTCAAGCCATATTCAGCTACAAGCTCACAAAGTGTTTTCAACCGTCTCTGCACTAGCATTTCCCCAGACGCCTTCATATTTATTCGAGCCTTGCCAGTTAAGGTGTTAGAAATCCACTGATGAACACATGCTGAATCAGTAAAAAGATGTACTGTCGACACCTGCCATTGAAGAGCCAAACTGACACCTTTTATTGTTGAGTCCAGCTCAGCCAAATTGATGTGCTTAGCATCTCCTGCCGGGCGCATCCACAACGCATCCTCAATGATGTTTCCCGTTACCTCCGATACGACACCTGTGGCTATGGAACTTACATCTACCCACACGTTCATCTCGCAGCCATTCACACGCCAGTCTCCTCCTACTGGATTGGTCTCGCGTATTCTGGCTATTATGTCGGCCAGCATGCAATTAATAGGCATCTTCAACTTCGTCATCCCATCCTGTTGTTAGAGCGCTTGCTTGTCATTTCACAAATGCAGTAGCCACTCGTAGCCAGTCGCAAATGGGAAAGTGGCCCACAAGTTTTCCACATAGAGAGAACACGTGCCGACGAGTTATCCTCACAGGGATATCAGGGATCTGTACACCTCGCCTCCATTGGAGAGTACCATTAAGACCTGCAATCCCAACACCTTAGTTCTGTCTTCAATTCTGTCGGTTCTTTGCATGCTAGTCCATACTTAGACAAGAGCTTACTCACACATGCAACAGGAATCAGACTTTTGTTGACATAAATGTTGTCAATGTATGCCGATGTGGCACTCACAATGACTTTGTCTTGCTACAATACTGTATCATTTACAGCCTTCATGATGAGAGGTGCCACATTCAAACTGAAACCCAGCTAATACCCTCCCTAATACTGGAATATTAAATGGAAACGGGAGGTTTATATGCAAAGCAGAGGGATCTGGTAGGCTAATGTTTACCCAGATGCCATAGACTGCCAGGACTTGTACCTAGCCTCACTCCATAATACTGGAATATTAAATAGAAACAGGGGAGGTTTATATGCAAAGCAGAGGGATCTGGTAGGTTAATGTTTACCTAGATACTATCATATACCTCACCTCTTTCTATAATATTGGAATAAAGCATTAAATATGGTAACTGACCTTTGTTAAAAAGTTCTTTTTGATTTGTTCTTCTCAAATGAAAGAAAAATGAATCTGATGTAAAATTATAATTGTATGTTTTATTTCAACTGAAATGCACTTGTGTATAATCCTGCTTTCAGGTTTAATGTCATTTTACTTTCAGTCAACTAAATCGTTTTTTTTTTTTTTTTTTTTTTTTTTTTTTTAATGCTGAAAAAAATTTATATTAAGTTTACTAAAATTTTCAAAGTGACTTAGTTTGTAGTATTTGCATCTAGTGTTATCAAGGTTATTTTTGTTATTTGGTATTTGTTTTTCTTGGTCAGCTTTTTCTGTTCTATCAAAATAATATATTGTGTAACTACCTTAAAAGCTGCCCTATCAAGCAGCATGTATGCTAACTCTTGTTGGGGGGGGGTCTTGATTGGGCCTCATCACAATAGGTAGGAAGGAGTAGATTCAATAGACAACAATAAACTAAAGAACTCAGAACGGATTGCTGCATTTAAATATTGCATTAATATTTAAGCTTACCTTTTAAAAGTTCAATGATAATTCTTCTGCGACCACTTAATTTAAAGACAGTTTGATGTACCTAGGTCCTTACTTTCTGTACAAATCATTATTTTTATTTAATGGGTGACTTTCACTGGATTTTGCAATTAATTTAGATTATTCACAAATTTATTTCCAAGTTATAAAAACTATTATCTTAACAAAAAATTGTTGCATAAAAAAAATATCACCAAAAACAATTAGAATAATGAAAATTTGTGAATCAAAATTTCAGGATTGTGGATTTTGATCTGACCCAGAATATTTTTAATTTGCTCACAGTTGGCCTAATTTCAAAATGGTGTGATATGTTGGGCTATGGTCTCTAGGAATAATGTTGAAAACCTGGACAATTATTTTGAAACACTGTAATTTCAGAACAGTAATTTTTTTCATTTGAACATGAGCTATTGAAAGCTAGAGTTATGTCCCTTTTAATTGTTTTTATCAGTAGAAGCCAAGATGGCAGAATCCAAAAACAGTTACAGTAATGAAAGCTTGAATTCAAAATTTCAGGATTGCTGGTCTGGATATGGCCTAGAATGTTTTTAATTTGCTCATGAAGTCAGCCTGATTCCAAAATGGTATGATATGTTGGGCTATGGCCTCTAAGAGTAAGGTTGAAAAAAGTGTGATGCACTGATATTCATATTTATTATATAAATGGTTCTCATATGATCACTGAAGTTAAGTAATGTTGACACTGGTCAGTACCTAGATGGGTGACCACTTGAGAATACCAGCTTGCACATGCAGTGGTTTAATGTCTAATGACATAGCCATAATAGAACTAAGTTCCAATTTTGGTCATGTTTGTTATAATGGCTTATGTGTAAATATCCTAGGGAAAGAAGTTATGAATTCACCTCTTCTCCTTCTAGCTATGGGTTAATGAGTAGAACATGTATCAACAAATCATTTTTTATTGTCTAAAAATACGTTCTGGCTTTAAATAACCTGTAAAAGGTTGATAAGCAAAAAAAAAAACTCAATATTCCATTCATATTACACTCTTTATTCATCATTACTATTTAAATTGTTACCCTCTACCTTGAGTGGCCCTTGGGCCTGGGCTGCAATTTAGGCTAAAAAATAGTGGATTCTGTATTTTTAATGTATGTTTCTCTTATTTATTTCCATTTTTTTTTTTTTATTTCTTTTCAGGAAGTCTAATTATGCTACCAGCCCGGAAGGTGTCCTCATCAATAGTCTTGGCCTTGTTCTTATATCTTTTGTCATGTTAATAATCTACATTGCGAGCCGATCTGAATACAAACGTTATCCATTGCCTGAAGAACGCCACATACAACTGAGTGAATAATTTATAAAACAATTGACCGTGGATTTTTATCTATAAAAATAAGTTTCATGTCAGATTACAATGTTTTCTTTCTCTACTGAATTATTTAGTTGAAGATTATAGACTTTTCTTTTTTTCACAATTACATTAACCCTTTAGCATTCAACACTCGCAAACTTATTCCTATGAATATCGGCTCTCAAAGTATCCCTGTTTATGTAACTTCCTGCATTATGATGTTATAGCAGACTATACAAGGGGCAGGTTTGACATTGTGAGCCAATATTTACAGAACAGGTTTGAGTGGGTTAAAAAAAAACCATTGTCAAATATAACCAGATTTCATTTAGTCATTTAGGAGAACCCTGTCTATTGTAACATCTGATGTGCATTTCTTTTCATAAAAAAAAATAACATTTTAAATCTAAAATTTCACTTATTTTCTGCCTAACATTTTGTTAATATAAAATTGTTAAAATTGCTTTTTCAAATTAAAAAATGACTGACTTAGCTGAAATTTTTGACGTTGATGTCTGACATGAAAGCATTGCAAATTTGTATCTTTCAACAGGCCTCGACAAATCTGACATTTTTCAAGCTCTGTACCTACTACTCTCAGTACGCTGATACTCTTGTAAAATCTGTAATGCCACGGTGATCCACAAATTTTCAATAATGAAAGCTCTGTCTTGTAGTTAGATTTAATTTCTGCCATCCAAATATGGTGCCTGTTACTACATGTGTATAGTACTTTGACTCCGATGGAGTCAAATCTTGAACAAGTCAGAAGTAGGATCATGAAAACAATCCCCCCACTTCCCCACAACAAAAATGGTGACTTGTTCTTAAATGAGGTAAACATTTTCCAATTTAATCTTCAAAAACCACTTTAGGGATATATAAATAAACTAAAATTAAAAAACAGACAACCTTAATTAATATTTGCTCTGGATTACATCCTCCTTGGGATTATCCATACAGATTACCACACTTTTCATTATCTAATATATAATATGTATGTATATTCAAATAAAAAGAAAGAACAGTAAGATATGTAATCTGCACTTCTTATTTTTTACAAAATAGTGCTCAATGTAAATTTACAGAGCATTAATATTATAAATTAACTGATTTATTACTCATGTAGTGAAAAAAACATATTTTAAATCAGTTAATAAATATATATATATATATATATATATATATATTATAAATTAATTGATTTAAGATACGTTTTTTTTTTTTTTTTTTTTTTTACACAGTTCTAACCATGTTACAATAATGGAAGCTGAAAGCTCCAAATTTAATTTTGTAATTAAATTAAAGACATTAGTTGAGGATGAAATGGAACTAATGTCTTTAATCTAATTACAAAATTAAATTCGGAGCTTTCAGCTTTCATTTTTGAAACAGAACTGTGTAGGGAAAAAAAACATATTTTAAATCAATTAATTTATAATATTAATGCTCTGTAAATTTATATTGAGAGATATTTTGTAAAAATAAAAATATCTATAAGAACACCAGATTATATATCTTACTGTTCTTCCTTTTTTATATATAATATATATATATATATATATATATATATATATATATATATATATATATATATATATATATATTCAAACAGGTTTGGTTAAATAATTTAGACATATGTTAATTTATTTTGGTTGTAATCCTTTCAAATTTGCAGATTAATTTCTTGGTAGCCTTAGAAAAGTTTTCCTTCAAATAATTTTTATTTTCCTCAAGTACTTTCAATCTCATCTGAGACCATCTTTATGGGGTTAAATTGTCTGTATGTGTCTATGTATTTCCGTAAATTCAAAACATTTCAACTGTTCATTTTACTGCATTATGTAGTATTCTAGATTTCAAATTCAAAATTCCCATGTTTTCCCCCACTCTTCTCTCCACAGTATAAGGGAGGTAACTTTTTCATTTTATTTAATATATATGCTACTACAAACATTTAAAAACTTTATCACTATATTTTTAGTTGACTTTATTTTGGGCCTTTTAATTCTCTTACATAAATGGCTCTTGGATTTTTACTTTTTGTTTATTATTTTTATGTAATATAGATGTATTTTCAACTAACATCCATCTAAACTGTGAGTGTGGGCATGAATGTTTCTTTAAATGCTGTGAGATTGAACTATGCTCATCCAAATGGAATGTAAGCTTTTTGTTAGCATTGTCTTAGTAAAACCAGTGCACATATTAACATTTTTATCAGAGATGCAATCTCTCAAAGGACATTTAAATTGATATACAATGTTGGCCTTTTGAAAGATGCTAAATTTAACCAAACCTGTTTAAATAAAAAATATGCTGCCTAAATACACACACACACACACACACTCAATAAAAATGAGAAAAATGGCAGTCAATAGCTGAAACCTTCTGATGAATAGACTGAATAAGTAAAAGTAAAAAGTTGTCTGAAACTCCAGAGTTGTTGTGCTAAACATAAGATTAATCAGCTAAGTGACAAATTTTATATTTATATTAATAATATATATATATAATTTAATTTATTTTTATACTTTTTCTCCTTTCTCTAAATCGAACAACTTGATCTAGTTTTCTAAATAGTTAAAAACTTGATTCCGTCAAATCCACATTTTTTTCTTGTCTATTTCCAACTCAAAAATAGTTATAGACCCTGTATTACGTACTCATTTCCTTTTTTTTCTTATAATACAGATTACTTGTATTAAATAGATAAACTTAAAAATTTTTTAGAATTGTTGAAATAAAAAAACCCAATATTTCCAACTTCCTGTAATGATTTTCAGATACTGCTGCTCTGATTCTGTAAAGTAAACAAACTGGTTGCTTGTAGAAAACCGATCACTTTTATGTTTTTGTTTTTAAGACGAGGCTTATTTTTCCATTTTCTTTTTTTTTTTTTTATATAATTAAAGTTAATATTTAATGTTATCTGCTGATTAATTAAGTTAATGCAAAAGTTGATACTCTTCCCCACCTCACAAACTGGTGCAGAACTGAAATGAAATGTACATTCTGTTTTGTTTTAAAGTTGTAATCAAATCCATTTTCTAGAATTGAAATCATTAAGTTGACTTTACATATTTTTTTTACCTCCATAAATAAAAACTGAAAAATATCAATTTAAGTTCTCTTTTTCTTCTTTTCTTTCTTTTTTTTTTCTTTTCTTCTCTTTTTCTTTTCTTCTCTTTTTCTTTTCTTCTCTTTTTCTTTTCTTCTCTTTTTCTTTTCTTCTCTTTTTCTTTTCTTCTCTTTTCTTTTCTTCTCTTTTCTTCTTTTTTTCTTTCTCTTTTCTTTTCTTCTTCTTCTCTTTTCTTCTTTTTTTCCTTCTCTTTTCTTTTCTTCTCTTCTCTTTTCTTCTTTTTTTCCTTCTCTTTTCTTTTCTTCTTCTCTTTTCTTCTTTTTTCCTTCTCTTTTCTTTCTTCTCTTTTTCTTTTTCTTCTCTTTTCTTTTCTTCTCTTTTTCTTTTTTCTTCTCTTTTCTTTTTTTCTCTTTTTTCTTTCTTCTCTTTTCTTTCTTCTCTTTCTTCTCTTTTTCTTTTCTTCTCTTTTCTTTTCTTCTTTTTTTTTTTTTTCTCTTTTCTTTTTCTTCTCTTTTCTTTTCTCTCTTTTTCTTTTCTTCTCTTTTCTTTTCTTCTTTTTTCTTTTCTTCTCTTTTTCTTTTCTTCTCTTTTCTTTTCTTCTCTTTTCTTTCTTCTCTTTTTCTTTCTTCTCTTTTCTTTTTTCTCTTTTTTCTTTTCTTCTCTTTTCTTTTCTTCTCTTTTCTTTTCTTCTCTTTTCTTTTCTTCTTTTTTTCTTTTCTTCTCTTTTTTTTTTCTTTTTTCTCCTCTCTCTCTCTTTCCCTCTCCTCTAATTATATTTTAGGTAAATCTATGACAAAGTGGGGAAAACTGTTCAGGTGTGATGCATTTCAGTGGAAACAAGACTTCCTCTTGTGATTAAAGAGCAGAGATAAAGAGAGCAAGTTGTTTCTTTGTATTTTGCTTTACATAATGCCACCAAGTGGGTGTTAAGACAAGTTCCCTGGTAGTCAAGGTAGATTTGTCCCATAACAATCAAGATGAACATATTGATATGAATATAAAGGCATATAAAAATGGCATTTTGCAGTTCCTACATAATTATAATCCTGTGCCACCCTAAGATTTACTTAGGGCATCTGCATTAATAATAGTTAAGCTTATTTTGCAAAACATTAATTTTGGTCCACTAAATGCTCATTGTTATAGCCTTTTGCCAAACTTAAGCGCAGTTATTTGAATTTATTGAATTTAGTTTGGCACAATAAAAATTAGTTTAATAGGAACACCTACTGAGGACAGAACTCGCTTTGATCTATTTTAGGAAAAAAACCCAAAAAAAACTGACAAATTTTTTTGTGCAATGTGTTTTGTCCTTCAGGAGTTCATTGGACTAAAGTGAGGTTTAGATTTGATGTGACTACATATGTGCATGAAGGAGAAGGGGGATACTGAGAATTTTTACAATTTAAAACAATTTTTTAATTTTTTTTATTTTTAATTTTAAAAAAAAATATTTTGGAGTTTAGCCAATTTGATTTAGTTTCTTTTTTGACAGGTTTCCATCACTTTTGTTATAAAATATCACACATGGATATAAGAAAGGTGAAATGTAAGAACTTAGATATAAATTTACTGCAGATGATCTAGCAATTGAAGTATTTTCTATACATTTTCACCTTAGTAAATTGCTTTCCCTTTTAATTAAAGGCAGCATTTCTTTAAATCCAAATTATGGTCAGATTTATTACAGTGATGACTAATGCACTGAGTGTGTTTTTGTAAAAGATCCATTTTGTGTTTTTTATTTGAATTCCTTGAGGTTTCTCCTATGTATTACTTGTGGCAATTAGTACAGGTGATAGAGTAAATTCTTCAATTTTCAGCTTATTTTGTTTTGTATTAATAAACTAACTGATGGAGGTTGATGTGCTGCTAAGCAAAATCAACCAACCAATGTCAATGGTGATAGTGTTTCATGCTTGAATGGAAACTTCAGGCCATGTTTATAGAGGCACTTAGCTTGTAAAATTTTCCCTCTTTTATAAAAAGTCAGTATATAATTTCTTTTCAATTAAATGCCTAATTGTTGCCCTTCACCACAATTTATTTCTTCTTGAAACTCCTCATATTTATTCTTATTTATCCATTTGGTTTAAATGAAATTTTTATAGATAAACATGTGCCAAAGTAATTAAACATATCTCTTAGACTTTTTCTTTTTTTTCTATTTTTTATTTATTTATTTATTTTAATTCAGAAAGTCTGACTTAATTTTTGATGTAACTAACTGAAGATTTGTTTTGAACAAATTCCACAGGCAATAATTTAAATGCATTTTCTTTCTTAAATTCTTAATTCTTCAATTTTCCGCCTCTCATCATGTTAAGTCCATCTCGGCGCCTGCTGTAGAGCAACAATTTACTAACAGACCAAGATTCCTGGCCTTGTGCTAGATTTGTTGTGAAGCCAAGATGTAAATAAAGTCTGTTTACACATTAACACCCATGGTCCTGCCAAATGGGAGAGTTGGTGTTAATAAGTAAAAATCAATGATTAATACCAGAATTTTATAAAGTAATAATTAATTTGTTGTGTTTTTATTTTTATTTTATTTTTTTATTTTTTTCTTAATGTTGAAACTTATAAATCATATCAGATTTTTATTTTAATTTTTCATCATTCCAGATAATATGATAGGCAATGATGGGTGAAATTTTTTTTTCTTTTTTAAATTACTTCTATATCCATAAATTGTCAAATAAAATGTAATGATAAACTGAAAAAAAAATGAAAAGAAAGCAGTTTTGAAACATTCCAAGAATGTGTTTTTTTTTTTTTTTTTTTTTTTTTTTTTACCTCTCTCCTCAAAGTAAAATTTCTGCTTGACTTTTAAAAAAAATTCTGTTGGAAGCCCCCACCCCATCTTATTTTAATTTTTATTCTAGCGGAAATAGTTTTATTTTGTTAATCATTTTTATTTACAAGTTACTGTCAATAAAAAGTAATTTAAAACAAACACAACACTAAACATTTTTTTTCTTTATTTCAAAGCTTGTTTTATTTGTTGGTCATGACATTACAAAATATTGACTGATTTACTCAAATTTTCTGGATTTGTATATTTTTCAAATTAGAGCTAATTTGCTGGGTGCACAACTTTTCATTTTAATGCATTTTATGTGAATTTTCTTAAAAGAAAATACTTTAAACTTTTCCGCACCCTAATTAAATATTTCTAAAGTTGACTGTACTGTGCTTGGCCAATTTGAGAAAAAAATGGTGAACATGGTGGAAGAAAAAGAAATTCCAAGCCCGACAGCCTTTAAAAATCAGCATTAAAAAAAATTAAATTTTTGTTATCTACCTAGAGTTGGAAACTATGAATTTGTGTCCAACTTGGTCAGTTGAAGATTTGCTTAGTCTGGTACAAGGCCAATAAATCACAGTATCCCATCTTTCAAATGCCAAAATGGCCAGTATGAAATGGAGTTGTACCCTAAACAATTGGGTTGTTGTAAATTGTCTCACATAGCACAATGGTTGAATGAAAGGTCTTCTTTCGTACAGAACTATTGCCAGTAGTTCTTCTCACTTGATCTCTTCCATATAAATTTCTGGGATGAGAGGTTATTTACATTCAGACTAATGTCCTCATCTTTGTTGTTGTTGTTATCACTTTTTGGCAAAACATGATAACACTGAAAATGAGTGTATTAGTCTGAATGTAAATAAGGTTCTTATGAGCAAACCACAAATGCCCTCACTCAGCTCTTCCACTGACCAGCTCATGACTACCCCACATTGCAGCACCATCCTAGTTTGTTGATGTGCACCAAAACCAAGAAAGATTTGATGTATATTCTCAAGGAAAAGTGTCATGGTATGAAGTGAGAAAGAGAAACTCATTTCTAATTTATTTAAGTGTTTATTCAGGCATCGTACCCTCAGGCCTTCATCAGACAAGTGAAAACCTGAGGGTACTATGTTTAAAATAAGGTAACATTTTATGTTACTACTACTATTACCACCACTATTATTACTACTACTACTACTCCCAATATTTCTACTACCATCACCACTACTACTACTTTATTTGTTAAATTAATAATACAAATAAGTGAAGATCATTTTATAGGTTACAAGAATCCCTCAATTAGTGTGGTAGGTGGCAGAGTGTACCCTCAGTCATCCATATCGGGAGGGTATCCAATTAAAGAGTGACATAAAAATTTAGTTTTTGAAATTTTGTTAACTTTGTTGTAGAAGCAGCATACAGTCTCACAAGCTGGTGTGAATGGGGATCCATGTTTTGGTAAGTGAGACTGGAGTTGGCCCTGGACATCCCCAAACTTTTGCATGTGGCTTGATCAGAGATGCTTTGGACAAATTTCATGTCAGACTAACAGATCAGTTCTTCCTTTTGACTCTATCTCCTTTACCCTCCCCTAAAAGCATAGACTTTAATAACTGAGTTGTTTGGGTGGCCTTTTCTTGATATGCCATAATTTGAGTCTATTTCTATGTCACTATAAAATTGAAATCTTCCTTTGGGCAGGGGGTGGGGTGGGGTGGGGTGGGAGGGCAAATCCAATCAGAGGCAAAGAATTCAAATCTACTAAAATTTGAAACTGAGTGATCCTGGGATCCAAATATAAACCAACTTAATTTCCATGCTTACAGTTATATCACATTGAAACTACAAGTTCCTGTACAATCTCCAAAGTTATGAATTGTCGAGCCTGGCCACTACCTAGATAGGTGACCTCTTGGGAATACAAGGTGTTGTAAGCTTGGATCTGCAGGTGGTGTAATGGATGAGAGCTCTGTTGTTAATCGGAAGGCTGTGTTCCAATTCGTCATATTCATTCATGGGGCATTTTATAAAACAATACTTAAAATGTGTTTGTTGCCTACTGTTGGCATAAAAAAAATGTTATTCTGATCAAAGGAGAAAAACAATTTACTATGAGAAATGTCTAGATAGTGCCTTGAATGCAAAGTCATCCATAGTAAATTTGCATTCTGACTGATACAACATTTCACCATTCCTTGCAGAACTTCAGTTATCACAGTGTGGGATTATCTGCTAACAAAATTGATGGAAAGAAAAAGAATCTAAATGAAATCAAATAAGATAAAAAATATCAAAATCCCAGCATCCCTTATTTGTGTGCATGAAAGCATTTTTCCACTTTGTCAAACATTTTCTCCCCAATTCACTTACATTCACATACTTGTGGGAAAGGTATGAATCCACCTCTTCTCTTACCCCCACCTGTGGGTTAATTAGTAAGACTTGTATCAATTAATCATTATCACCAAAAAATTCTTAGAATCCCAAAATATTTTCTGGCTTTAAATAACCTGCAAAAGGTTGATAAGCCATAGAAAACAAAAATCAGATTAATTTCCATTAGGTGCTCAAAAAATATTTTTGAGCAAGCCATTCTACGCTACTTTGATTACCAATTTAAACTTAATTGTAAACAAATTCTTTCTCTTCAATGTCATGATTTTTAATTCAGATGATTGAAAAAAATGTTCAGACAATTTCAATTTCTCTCTTCATTTCAAGTCCAGATAACCAAAGTTCCAATAATTGAGGAAGAACTGTATATGTTCACAAGGAAAGAAATGGTAATTGTAATAATAACTGTTTCCTTATAAGGAAACATTTGGTATTCATTAACCAAACAGCTAGTACTGCTTTTTTCGTCTGTGAGTTAAAATGAAGATTATTATTATTATTTTTTTTTTTTTTTTTTTTTTTTTTTTTTTGATTTATTGTATATAAAATACAATTGGCCAAAAATGGTGTGGGGACTGGGCTGAGGCTGGTCA